GGCCATCGATGTCGACCAGGTTACTGGCGCGGAGGGCTGCAGAGACCGGCGTCAGTGAAACCGCGCCCGGAGGAACCCTGGCAGCCGACCTGTCTTGAATGGCTGTACCTTTGAGGACTCACAAACATGACAAATAGACTCCGAATTAGACAGTAACTCTGCGAATATGCATGATATGTTATGATATTATAATTATAAGTAAGTATTATATGGAAGTGAAACACCACCACTCTGTCATCCTTAAAGTCTTACTTCTTGTCTACAAGCTCCTATTTTCGGGCATGTCCGACCCTTGACCTGACGGAAGTCGTTTGGGGAGGCGTGACCCGTCCAGTGTGCATGTAGAGGAAGTCAGTGGTGCCATTCGTGTGACCCGCGATTGATGTGTTCCATGGCATCTGTGTCCTTGGTACAAGGGGAAAGGGCTGGGAATGGGACCATATGGACCATAGAACCATATGGATCTTAACAACGAATTCGCTGATCGCCAATGGGGTCGGAAGAGTCCGGTCGGATCGTCCGCCAAGGGAGTGTCTGAGACGGGTCGGAGAGGGAATCGCCTCCGTTTCCATGCTGACCCATCAGCAATTCGTTGACCTACTCGCTGACCTCCCGTCCATTTGAGGTTGGGCCAAGGAGGCAGTCCGGGCAGACTGACTGAGTTGAAGGACCACCTGTTGGCATTTGCCCCCCAAACTCTGCCGACGTAGAACCTGAAAGCAGCTTGAAGAACGACAAAGCTCACTTCCCGAAATGAACACACGACGGAATCTTTGGACGCTAAAGAAGCATTCAACTCTACACCACCTCATCACCATGCCCCTTTTCACGAACTCCGCGTGATAAAGCCGCCCTACCTTGGCTCGTAGGGGCTCTTCTCCCAGAGCTCCAACACCTGCCCCAGCCAAAGTCCGGAGAGGCCGTTTTGCGCCTTACTCTCCGAGTCATTTACATGGACATGGACGTAGAATTCACCACCTCTTTGGCATGAAAAACTTGAGGCCGAGGGTAGGTGACGAAAGCTAGCAGGGGTGCATCCGGACTGGTGGGACATCAAGCGGAGTGAGGCAAATGCTCATGAGGTTGTGAACATGTAAGACACACAAACAGCAATGACACAGCCAACCTTAGAATTGAAGTCCCCGATAATTAAGGAAGCGTGGCTGGACTTTGCCACACTGTTCGATGCATCCGATGTGTTCACGAACCTGTGAGCTTGTTGAATCTGTTGCGCTGTATCCCAAAACCTCCACGGAGGAGTTGAACCAGTGTGGATGCCATAAGAGGTGCCCA